CGGTTTGCGCAATGCGAGTCAGACGTCTCAACGCTTTATGAACGATATATTCTAAGACGAAGCATAAAGGAAAAAATGCAAGCAATCTTGTAGCACATGTTTTTTCTAACCAATTTATTATTTTTGTACGTGTTTTTGCATCCAATCACCGCGCACTTAATTTTAATTAAATTTGCAAAAAATCTTTATTGAAAATCGCTTAAAAATCAATGAGATAAACCACCGACAAAATACACATAAAGAAAGAAGCAAAACAGAAATAGCAAACTTCAAAATTACGCACGTGACACACTTTTTTCTCAATTGCTATTACAAGTTGCTGCTTCTTAACCGGTCAGATCTGTTCTAATTGGTTCATGGAAGTGGTGGAAATAAACACATATGTGGCGGCAAAAAAGTTAGTCACCCTACTATTAGGTATTAAAATTTAGTTTGAGATATACGTGTATTTAAAATCTGGTAACACTGTTTTAATCTTAAAACATTCTAGAATGTAGATACATAATTACCATTCTATTCTTTTCCTTTTTACGCTTTCTTGGTAACCATTCGAAAAATGTGTATACGAGTGTTACTCACCTCGCGAAGATATAGATATTTCTTTTCCTTTTTACGCTTTCCTTGTAACCATTCGAAAAACGTGTATACGAGTGCTACTCACCTCGCGAAGATATAGATTATTTGCTACTTAATTTTGTAATAGCAATAATTTAATAAAAGCTACTGAAGAGTTTGCTGAGCAAAAACACAACCGGTGTGTAAACATTTACTGACATACCAAGTGGCGTTAGGAACTCGGTAGTGGGACCAGCGCTAACACCGTGACGAGCCAGGAGCTCCCCACATTGGTGACCCCGACACAAGGAATTCGCGAAGGTTCGAAGAGCACGTGACGGCATCGGCCACTTGAACAAAAAAATATATACGTTTTGTAGCGTGAAGAAGAGCTAGCCGTGCACTGCGTCGCTGACGTGGTTTTTTTCTGCAAGGATGTCTGAAGAAGAACAGGATAATACCACAGGGATAGCCCACACGTCGGAAGAAAATCGTTTTACCGGTGAGTTACAGCCAGTGTTGCCGCGAATCTTTTTAGTGGTAGCCAAATTCCTTTAAAATAAGGGCTGAAAAAGAGCTAAAAAAAGTCGCTGTGGCTAAAAATGGTAGCTAAAATTTGTTACTTACATATACATATATAAACATTTTCAGTAAGTAATGGCATAGAAAAACAATGAACTCTGAAAAAAAGCTAATATTTTATCCAACCAAAAGCATTTTTGTATAAAAGGGGAAATATACGACACCAGCTTGTTGGCTCCATCAAGTGATTGTACCATCAAGCTGGAATCATATAATTTACCAGCATGCTGGTACAATATTTATTTCTTTACAAATGAGGTCGAGGAATGATCGAAATGATTAGAGCCGAAATTTAACAATTTTTCTACAATTTTGTTAAACATTGTTTTTCTTTTTAATTCACAACTGCAATACCGTGAAATTAATCTTCCACGAACACGTCTTTGACTCATATAGTACAAGAAATTTCTGCTAAAATGCTTATTGCTTAGAAAATTCAGCTAATTTCACCACTCATGACACCAGCATGCTGGTACAATCATAAAATGTAACAAATTAAGCGTAATAATTAAGCCTTAAGCCGTAAACTTATCTATTTTAAACTATAGTTAAATCGTTAATAGATAAGTTAACAGCCCTAACACTTTTGGAGTATGTATGTATAAAAACGTAAAGAACATATAATATATACATCGTCGTTTAAAGTGCAAAACCGCGTATCAACAAAATGCAAAACCGCGTATCAGCAAAATGAAAAACGGCGTATGTGAAGTTGTAGAAATTATTTTCTAGAGCGTAAAAACACTCATATTTCAAAATGGTTCCCTTTTTTATAAAGCAATCGCATTTCTGGCTAGTATATTTCAGGACGAATGGATAAGGATTGAGCCAAGAGCATGTGTGAGCAAATCCAATTTTTGGCAGCCAATGTCAGTTACGCGGTTTTGCAGAATGCCGACACGCGGTTTTGTAATTTAAACGACGATATGTAGATATATATGTCTTTCTTAGTTTAAAAATTCATCTCTTACATAAATGAAAAAAATATGAGATCAAATTAAGCGTATACAACTTTTTCATGCCAAGTATGAATAAATTCTCCAAAGGTCTAAAAAAGGGCTAGGGGCAATTTTAAATGTATGTCAAATCTAGTCACCAAAGGGCTAAAACGGCAACACTGGTTACAGCACATCAGCATTAGACCGCCTGCATTCTGCAAGCAAAGGTCCGAGTTATATTGTATCCAGATGGATCCCAATTTTGCAATTTCACATGTAAAAACCGATGACACGAAGTATCATTATGTGATCAGTTCATTAAACTATGTTCCCATTGGCGTAATTTAGAGGTCAATCTTAATTTACGCATAAATTAAGTACAAACTAAGTAATTTCGCCTTGTAAAGTCTCTCAGTAAATTAAGTTGGAAGTACGTAGTTTATCTTAAACCAAGAACCAAATCACGAACAAATCAGTGTCGGCTCTAATTTTATCGATAATAATCGAAAAAAGTATTGTCCCATAACTGATATGTCATTGTGTTTGGACGTTTTTGTTTTTAATAATCGCGCGAGTTACGTCACCTGGCCATTCCACTCCAATAGAAAACCGAATTGAGGTTGACTGGTCAGCGTAACGCTACACCTAACACAGTGCATTGGACCATCGTATTGCACAATAATAAAGAATTTGTCAATAAAGAAGTAATAATAAGTGCAACGACATTTTTAGATTGCCAATAAAGAAGTAATAATAAGTGCAACGACACTTTT